TTAGAAAAAAACGTTGCTGTTTAGATTGACAGTCTCCCTTTGAATATTATTTTTTCTCAAGATTTTTGTTTCCTTAAAATTAACTCCATTTTAATTGTCAATAAGATACATCTTATCAGTAGTACCTTTTGGAAAATGCTTATTAATCCTTTCTCCTTGATTACAGTGAATAGAATATCCTGAGTTATTACAACCTACGTGTAGGTTTTTTATTTTAAACAAAGAAAACATCATTCTTTCCTTACTGCTAGTGCATACTCTTAGGTTATAGTAGGAAGAACCCTACAGTTAAAGTCAGACCAGTTGGGGTTAGAGGCCCAGTTCTGTCTCCATTAGCTGTCTGGGGCTGGATTTCCTAGTTTGTGAGAATGGTAATTATATGTCCTGTTGGCAGGGATCCACAGAAATCATTTCTAAAGGCCACTTTTGTCATGGAAACTCTAGTGCCTCTACAGGCAACTGCTATGTAGTAGTTACTGTTTTGTTTTTTACCTTGCAATCAGCAAATTCCAAATATGGGTTGAGGAGGGTACTACTGGACAGTAAATGAATTCCTGGATTTGTTATTAATGTGTTTTTATAATTTATAACTTGTAATGTTAATCATTAAGGAGCTCTGGGATCGTAGTGGTTACGAACTGGGCTGTGAACCATAAGGTCAGCGGTTCAAAACTACCAGCTGTCTTGCGGGAGAAAGATGAGGCTTTCTGCTCCTGTAAAGATTTACAGCCTTGGAAACCCAACCCTGTACAGGGTCGCTATGAGTCGGAACCGATTCCACGGCACATAACAACAAGAATTAGGTGGTGGTTGTTGTTAAGTGCCGTTCAGTCGATTCTGACCCGTAGCGACCCTGTATAAGGTTTCCGAGGAGCAGCTGGTGAGCTTGAACCTCCAACCTTGCAGTTCAAACAGCTTTGCAGTCTGGCGCATTAACCCACAGCGCCACACCAGGACTCCAAGAATTAGGTGGTACACACAAATAAATACTACAGACTGAAAGGTTGGCAGTTGGAGTATGTCAGAAGAAAGGTCAGGTGTTTTGCTTCTGAAAAGCCACAGCCTTGAAAACCCTGTGGAACACAGTTCTTCTCTGGCACATGTGGTGTCATCATGAGTTGGAATCAACTCCGTGGCAGCTGGTTGCTTTTTTTTTTTTTTTTTAAATTAGTAAAGTTGTTGTTAAATGTCATCAAGTTGGTTCCAACCCATATTGACCCTTGCCTTATTCATATGTGGCTCCTCTTAACTTTGTTGGTGCTCATAAATGAGGAATAGCTTATTTGTAGATTTATACTGGGTTCTCTTTGGAGTCCTTGTGACTTCCCTTTGATAAAGCAGCCCCTGGGCCTTGTCAGAGAACTGACCCTCTGGGCAGTTGGTGACATGTGACGCACCTCTCCTGAAATCCCTCAACACATGCACGGTGAACACGTGGGATATACAAGGAGACTTCTAAAGGCTCAAGGGAAAATTCCATTACCTTTTAATTCCACCTTTCCGAAAACTCAACAACAGTAGTTCCAGTTGATGGTATCTACGCAAAAAGGAGCTGTAGTGGTGCAATGTGTTAAGTGTTGGGCTAACCCCAAAGTTGACCATTCACACCCACCAGCTGACCTGAGGGAGAAAGATGAGGCTGGCTGCGTGGGTACAGATTTGCAAACTCTGTAGAACAGGTCTTGTTTGTTTGCTTGCTTATATATACTAAAGTGAATGGATTTGCATGTGTTTCTTGTCTGTGGGCATGAGATCAAATAAACTCGAATCAAATACGATTACACATCAGCTAGTGCGCATGTAAAAGGAGTCCTGGCTCTAGGAGCTGAGGGCCCTGGGACCATCAATGGAGAAGAGCGGAGAGTGGGACCCCACCCAGAGGAGCAGTGAGGCCTGAGACTGAGAGGATGATGTGAAGAGATGGAGTGGCTGGGGACTAGGGATCCAGAGTGGGAGAGGGGCCGTGTGCTGAGGACCGTGAGGGGAGGGCGGGCGGGATTGCAGGGTATACCCTTTGGTTGAGTGATGATGCATGGCCGGGATGGTAACTATGGCAGTGAGATGATGTATGATGGAAGGAATGTAAAACTAATGTTCCCCCATGTAGACTGTCACACAATACACAATAAAACATTGAGAGAAAAAAAAAAAAAAGGAGCCCTGGCAGCACAGTGTTTAAGCACTTAGCTGCTAGCTGACAGGTTGGCTGGCAGTTTGAACGGCCAGCGTTCTATGAAAGAAACATGTGGCAGTCTGCTTCCGTAAAGGTGACAGCTTGGACCTTATGGGACAGTTCTCTGTCCTGCAGGGTTATGGTGAATCGGAATGGACTGGGCAACAACAGGTTGAGTGCCCATGGAGGTCCTGTGAGGGCCTGAAAGGGAACATTTACTGCCCCCTTTTTTTTTTTAGCTTGTTATTGTGAATTGAGTGAAGGTTTACATTCAACAAATCATATACCTTATTTCATTACATGGATTATAATCCCTTCCATGTACTATCAGTTAACAGCATTTACCCCTATTCACTTTAGCTATTACAGTCCTCTGCTAACTTCCCTCTTGTTGTATATTGCCTGCCCTGTCACCCATGTAAACCTACCTTCTGGTCCATGAATACCCCCCAACCATCATAGAGTGTTTCTTTAATCAAGAGAACCTTTTTCTTAACTTTTTACATCACTGGTCTCATACACTATTTGCCCTTTAGTGATTGGCAAATTTCACCCAGCATAATGGCCTCCAGGTTCTATGTTGTGAGGTGTTTCACAAATTCATCATTATTCTTCAGCATTTTGTAGTATTCCATTGTGTGTGTATACCAAAGTTTCTTTAGCTATTCTTCTGTTGATGGGTATTTAGACTCTCTCCATCTTTTTGATGTCTCTTGTAGACAGCATATTGAAGGATACTGTTTTCTTATCCTTTTTGCTTTCTTTTTCTCCCATCTCATTCCATTCTGCAACTAAACACACTCATGAAAGCTTGTAAGTCAGCCACTTCATACCTTGTAGCCCCCCCGCACAAACCCTCATTTTGTGATAGCCAACATTTAATTTTTGAGTGTCTTTGGTTTTAAAATATGTTAATTCCTACAATAGATGCTTTATTTAGCGCAGTGATATGAGCTGTACTCCTGATTGGTTGTGTTGACTGTTCTGCTGTTGCTACTGCAGAAAACAAGAAGATTCCAGGTTTAGTAGAAACTCCCCCTGGGCGGAAGTTGTGGAACTCTGACCCCAGATTCTGCCCCCACCTCCCAGCATTAGTGGAGTAATAGGAGCGCCAAATCTGTTCACCTTCAATCACTGTGGTGATTAGTGGGGAGAAAATTGAGCCTGGTGACCAAAACAGAAGTTTTATGACTTATTTTGGGGTTCCATATGACATGGTATATACATTTTCTTTAGGGCTTTTATAGTAAAATATCATAAACTAGGTGCTTATAAGAACAGAAATGTACTGTCTCATAGTTCCGGAGGCTGAATGTCCAAATTGGCACATCGGTGAATTAACATGCTCCTGCAGAGTCTCCAGGAGACTCTCCCAGTGGCAGGAAGCCCCCCCTAGGCCTTGGCTTGTAGATGCATCTTTGCATGGCTGTGCTTCTCCTCTCTGATTTCTTGGTTTGGGTTAGGGCACACCCTCACAGGTACCAGAGGTTAGACTTCACTGCACCTTTTTGGGCAACACAATTAGATCCATAACACTGGTCTGCAACAGTTTTCCACTCTAGTGCACCTGAAGGATCCCCAGCATGCTGTGGGCTGGGTGTTATGCTGCTAACCACAAGGTTGGCGCGGTTCAAGCCCACCAGCCGTTCCACTGGAGACCGTTGTGGCAGTCTGTTGCTGTAAAGACATACAGCCTTGGAAGCCTTATGGAGCAATTCTGTCCTTTAGGGTCACTGTGAGTCAGAATCGACATGACCACACTGGGAATGCATTGGGGGGATGTGATGTCCCCTGTTGTTGTTAACTACCACTGAGTTGGCACACTGGAATAAAACACTGCCTGGTCCTGCCCCACCCTCAAGATTGATTGTGGATCTGACCCATAGTGTTTTCATTAGCTGATGTTTGGCTCATGAGCCCTTTCTTCCAAATCTGTGAGTCTGGAAGCTTCACTGAAACCTGTACAGACATCATCATAGCAAGACAGAAGCCTCTGCAGCCCTCCTGTAGGGACTCTCTCAAACAGTGACAAAGAACAGTAAAAATTTACTGAGTGAGGAAGGACAGAGAAAATAGTCTCCACTTCATGTCCCACTGAATACTTACACACATTTCAGGGTGGAGGCATAGGGACTGCTTCTTAAGGTCTGAATGAAAATGAGGACAACTGATAAGCAGGGGATATATGTGTGTGTGGAGTCCTGGTGTGGCACTGTCGGACAAGCACTAGACTGCTAACTGCAAAGTTGGTGGTTCAATCTACCAGCTGCTCCATAGAAACCCTATCTATGCAGGGTCAGTGTGAGTCGGAACCAACTCAAACAGCACTTAACAACAACGTATGTGTGTGTGTGGATAAAGAGAAATACAGTGCTTCCTTCTTCCTCTGTGTAGTTGGCACACCAGCCCCTACACTTTATCACCATACAAGGATTTTTTCTTGTGACATTAGTGATTGCTGATTTGGGATTTCAGTCATAGGGGTGCCTTGTCTTAAAAAGACAAGGTCCTGCTTGGAGATTGCTGCAGGGGTTGGAAGGGAGTTATTGTAGGGGTGGAAGGGCGCTGTAACAGGAGATAGGAAGGTTGTTGTAGGGGTAACAGGGCACTGGAGAAGGTGGAGGGGTTTCTTGCTGCAGGACAAGAGGGAGCATTGTTGAAGGGGGTGGATGTGGCATTGTGGCAGGGGTGAAGGGGGGTGTTGTAGGGGATAGAGGGCGGATTGTGCAGGGGGGTTCAATGAAAGAGTTTAGAGAACCTACCAGTGTGAGAATTTACAAGTTTGAACCATCTTGCTTTTGTGTTCAGGAAAATACCTGTGGGAGGCTATGTGTCCATAATCCAGAGGAGAAAAGTGAGAATGTCGGCCCTCAACTGGAAGCCATTTGTGTACGGTGGGCTGGCCTCCATCACAGCCGAATGTGGTAAGCAGCATTCCCAATGGGCTCACTCTACATGGAACCGTGTTTAAAATTTCAGGTCACAATTTGGGGTCTGCTCTGTTTGTAGTACAAGCACAGAATGTGTGCTTATGAAACAGGCTCAGAGTTCCACAGTTTTTCCTTACTTTGAGAGAAAATTGTCATTTTGGGCTACTTATCAGCAGTTTAGGATTCAAAGGTTAGTGGGCAGAAAGTTGAACCTATTGACCAGACAGATGTTTTATGACTCCTTTTTGGCTTACATCAGCCCCTGTGTCCTTGTCTTTTTGCCCACCTTGCCACCATGATCACGTTTGACCGTAAAGAGGTTTGAGATGCTCCCGGTCTCCCATAAGTCAGAGTTGTTATTTCTGCCAGTGCTCATTGTCGATAGTCTCCTTGTGACTTCCTCAGGTGGTTTCTACACCAGAGCCTTGTTGTCACTTTGTTTAATCCTCGCTCCATGCACTAACTCGACACATTTTGACTGAGCAATTGCTGAGAGCCAGGCGCTAAGGACAGGCTGGAACAACTGCCCCTGAGGAGCCAATGAGAACTTGCAAAGAGGTGATGGGACACACTCGGGCTTAGCTTCTCCATGCTGCTGGCTGTCCCACTACCACAAGGAATCCACTTCACTTTCTGAGTATGGACTTGATTGTATATTTGGATAGACTACCTGTAAGGTTCCTAGGTGGTGCAAATGGTTTGCAGTTGACTACTAACCTGAAGTTTAATATGGTTAGAATGTGTCCCATAGTACCACAGAAGAAAGCCCTGATGATCTCTGTCCAGTAAGTAAGATTACAGCCAAGAAAACCCTCTGTAGTTGCACTGTGTAACACAAGGCTCACGAAGAGTTGGAATTGTTTGCATGGCAGGGGTTGATTGGTTGGTTGTTGTTTTTTTCGTTTTGTATCTGTTACATACTATGTTAAGGATTTTTAGCTACAGCATCAAATTTAATTTTAGACTGTAAGATCAGTACTTCTTAAATGAGAAACATGGGAATCATTTAGAAAATGAAATGTTACTTTCCTTTGTTCATATGGAACCCAGTTTTAGCCATCATATATGTACAGAGGAGTCCTGGTGTGGTGCTGTGGAATAATGCGCTGAACTGCAAGGTCACTTTGAACCCCAAGGCTACTCCTCAGAAACTCTATACAGGTTCACTATGAGTCGGAATCGACTCAATGGCACTTAACAACAAAAATAACACTATGTAAAGAATGGTGGCTTGTTTTTGAATGGACTTTTCTGTTTGTATAAATCATTCCATCTGTTGGTATTTTTGACAGCAATACAGGCTTCTCAGATCCTGGGAGGAATAAGACTACGTGTATATTTCTATTTAAAAATCTAGAGAAATATGCATGCGTGCATATTTGTGGAATTATTTTTTTAACATCTTGGTTTTTAAAAAGAAAAAGTGCCTACCATTTCTTAATTTTGTTACTTGGTATATAAGAGGGGCTTCAAAGAGTTCGTGGAAAATGAAAAGATCATGGTATTTTTCAATGATGTTTTTGAAACCCTCTCATATTATAGTCTGAAAGTTTCCTCAGTTAAAAAAAAATGCACCACTACATATCCTATATTTTGTGGAACTTTATTGAATGAAAGTTTTCTTTCTTTACAATTTTAAGGTACATTTCCAATTGATTTAACCAAGACACGTCTCCAGATTCAAGGCCAGACAAATGATGCGAACTTCAAGGAAATTCGGTACCGGGGGATGTTGCATGCCTTAGTGAGGATAGGCAGAGAAGAAGGGGTAAAGGCACTGTATTCAGGGTAAGTAGTTCAGTGTTGATCCTTTCAAATGAACAGCTTTAGGACTAAAACTTCATGGAGAAAAAGTAAACATGTGAGATGTGTTTGAAAAATGCAATTAGCATTGTAGATTTTCCACTTTTAATTTCAGCTTTGTTTTTTCTAAATTTGTATTTTATGCAGCCAAGTTTTTGGTGCAACTATGCTTTAGGAGTTTTGGTAGCATAGTGGTTACAAATTGGGCTGGTAACCTCAAGGTCAACAGTTCAAAACTACCAGCGGTTCCACAGGAGAATGATGAGGTGTTCTGCTCCCGTAAAGATTTACAGCCTCAAAAACCCTGTGCAGAGTCTATGAGTCAAAACCAACTCCACGGTACTTAACAACAAATGCTTTTATTATATTCAAGTGCAGATCCATAATACAAAAATTACATTGGTTTTTAAACATCCTGTACTTCAGTTTTTCTCTCTGAAAACAGCCCTTCCTCTTAGATGGCCCACAGGTTTTGCCCCAATGACGGTGTCCTCTGTAGGTAAGGGTGACAGTGAGCTCCTTTTCTTCCTTTCAGTATTGAAGAACGGTGTGCTGTGGGCACCATCAAATAGGAAAATAAGGCAGGCTCTACCCACATCGGAGGCCCTGCAGAAAGCAGAGATCCTCAGATGTCTAAGGGGACAAATGAAGGATGCTAAGACATCTAGCAAAATGAGAAATTACTGCCAACCCTAGGACTAAAGAAGGGGCAAGGGCAGGAAATTATGTTGCCTGAGCCCATTGAGGTGGGTGCCTCCTAGCACAAACACTAGTTGTGGAGAAGGCGTTGTAGTGCCAAGGAGAAGTGAGCTGGGGAGAGCAATCCTTCCTCCTCTCTCCTCCTCCCTGTCTGCTACTGTGGACCCCGTCTGGATGTCAGCTGGCCTAGGAATCTGATGTCATGTGTCAATGTAGCCCATAGCTGTTGGCCTCTCGAGGCACAGGGCTGGGCAGAGGGACAGATGGGCACTCAGCAGTACTCGGTCCTTAAGGAACTGTGGTTTCCACATCCCTGCAGATGTGCAAACAGGGATTGCAGTGGTGTCAAAGGAGCACTAGAGTCTGGTGAGGCAGGACAGTAATCGCAGACTTGGGGGACAGGGGGTGGGGTAGGAGGCTTTCAGGAAAACTGTTCTCTCCAGGAGGCATTGTTTCTGATCCTGAAGGATCAAAAGAGTTAGCCAAGTAAAATTCAGTGCCAACCAAAAAACCAAACCTACTGCATCAAGTTCATTCCAACACATAGCGACCCATCGGACACAGGAGACTTGCTCTTTAGGGTGTCAGAGACCATAAATCCTTATGAGAGCAGAGCCTCATCTTTCTCCTGTATAGTAGTTGCTGGAGGGTTTGAACTACTGGCCTTTTGGTTAGCAGCCCAACTATGTGCCCAGGGCTTCCGCATAAAATTAGAGGGAACCTGTAATTCATACTGAGCCAGTCATGTCTGCAGGCTTGACAACAGCGCAGGACATAGTGAGGAGGGTGCTGTTGGTGATGACCTGGAGCTGGAGCTGGAGTAGTGGTGAGTGGCTGGGACGTAGACAGTCTGTGCCATGCTATTATTGCTGTTGTTGTTGTTAAGTGCCTTCAAGTCGCTTCCAACTCAACACAACCCTGTATAGGGTTTCCAAGGAGCAGCTGGTGAGTTTGACTCGCCGACCTTGTGGTTCAAACTGACCTTGTGGTCCAGTGCTTTATCCCACAGCTCCACACCAGCACATCATAGGTTACAAACTAGTGACCCGTAGCCCCTCCCTAGCCACTAAAAATTTGTTAGTGGCTTCTCAGTTGTTCCATTATTTTAAAATGAGAGGTTGCACATCAAAATCCATGGTTTCAGCATCTCAGGAAAATCCAGTACTGAGTCCACGGCTGCATTTGCTTCTCACAACAGAAACTGGAGTCCAAGATACTTTCTCTGGCTTACCCAGACCTCTGCCCCTCACAGAGTGTATCTTTCACTCACTGGTGGCATCTGCAGGTCACCTATAGCATTGACATTTGCTGTGCTTACAGTAGGAGCCTCTGAGTGGTGCAAACCATTAATGAGCTGGCTGCTAGCCCAAAGATTGGAGGTTCGAGTCTACCCAGAGGCTTCTTGGAAGAAAAACCTTATGGAAAAACAGTCATTGAGCACCCTGGAGAGCAGAGTTTATTTTGACATAAATGATGTCTCCAAGAGTTGGAGTCAGTATATTGGCAACTGGCTTTGGTGTGTGCTGGATGTGCGTGTGCACAGACTTAGGATGGACAGAAGCCACTGGAGGGTTTTAAGTAGGGGACCAGCATGTTGAGGCTTCTCTTGTAAAGAGATGACTGCCGGCCATGAGGAGAAAGACTTAAAGATCGAATACACGGAGGACAGGAGAGTGAAGGTCTGGAGTGAGCTCTTGGTCTTGGGGATGGAGAGGAAGGAGACAAGGTAGAAGGCTGTTTCCAGAGGCGGACGGACAGTGTTAAGTAACCTGGTAGGTGAAGATGAAGTGGGAAAGGAGTACACAAGGCTAATGTTGAAGTGCCTGGGTTTGGTCATTGTGTAGATGGATGTACCATTCTCTGGCCTAGGAAACAGGAGGGAAGTATGGAGGACATTTCAGTGGTGAAATCTGGAAACATTTGGGAATGTGTCTTTAGCTCAGGATTACTTCAATGTAGGAGTCATCCATCTGTACAGCAGTGGAAGCCCTAGGCATCACTGGGCTTATCAGGGAGCCTGTGGAGTCAGAGAGGAACACCAGAGCTGCTGCAGAGTAAACGAATGAGGGGATGTTATGGTGAGGAACCCTGGTGGCACAGTGGTTAAGCACTTGGTTGCCTTTTGAACCCACCAACCATTCATGAAAGAAAGGGGTGGCAGTCGGCTTCCACCAAGATTACAACTTAGGTAACCCTCGAAGGCAGCTCTCCTCCGTCCTATATAGGACTCGACAGCACAAAGCGGCACAAAACACCAGGGACACTGCAGCAGATTAGGGAGGGGACGGCTGTGAGGGGGACAGGAGGTATTAATACAGAGACACCGATTGAAAAGGAGAGTCCCATGGAGTAGGTGAAGGAAGACCAGCTTTTGCAGTTGAAAAGGAAGAGGTGGGGAACACTAAAAGACTCAGGGAGTGTGAATGTGAATGACACTGGCTGGTTTTGGGGTGGCTGGGATCACTGGATTGGGCCTTATGTGGAGGCCTGTGTTTCTTGTGTTGGATCTTGAACTTGGTTCAGCATTGCAGTGGGCAGTAACTGGAGAGGAGTGCCCTGGACTGGGTCCCCAAGGGGCAGGAGATGAGTGAGTTCCAGAGCTGCAGTGAAAGAGTTCGGGATGCTTGCTGTGGGCCTAAGTGTGTAAGTGCTGGTGTCTTCAGAGAAGGAAACCCTTCTGAATAGTCATATCAGACTCCAGGTTCATTTACATTTTCATTGAGGATAAATAAGGACTATTTTGTAACTTAATCAACTAATCATTTGTGTACAAGTAACTGGCCCCTCCTGTATTTTTGTTGGATTTTGAATTTAAGAGCAAAGTTGGTGGTTCACACGCACCAGCTACTTCTCAGAAACCACAGACAGGGAGTCTGAGTCAGGAAGCGACACCATGGCATAATTTTAGCATCATTTGATTGAGGAGGGCAGAGCGTGAGTGTATCTCTGTGGCTGGGTCTCCCAGAGGATTCTAAGCGAGTTTGTCCCTTTGTCCATTGTTCTGACAGAATCGCACCTGCAATGTTGCGCCAGGCTTCGTATGGCACCATCAAGATAGGCACTTACCAGAGCTTGAAGCGATTATTTGTTGAACGGCCAGAAGGTGAGTTGAGAATTCCTACTCAAGTAGTTTGGGACCAGATTTTCTCCTACTTTGTGAGGACACTACTGTTTGAGGAGAACTCGTGGTGTCTAGTTTGAAATGAACAGTGCTTAAAGCGAGTCACTTATCCACTGAATTTCGGGGACCTAGTCAAGTCATGACTGTAAGGAACTGTCCTATTAGTTGGCCTCATTGTCCAAATAACTGGAGGATATATCATTACAGTTCTGTGACTTTAGGTTTTAAAGTCACATGAATTATTTTCCAGGAAAGCAGTGGATAATTTCTTAGAATTAAAAACTCGGCTCTCTAATACTCTACTGCCAGTTGGTTCTGTGACTTTGTTCTGATCCATAGACACCAGTAAGAGGGGTGAACAGGAGCTAAGAATCCCAATAGTGTTTGTTTTATTTTTTAATACATTAAGATATATCTCCCAGTCATTTCATAGAAGTTTATCTTTTTTTGTTCTTAATATGCCTCATTTTGGTTAGGATGGTCTGAATTTACATATAAAAGTGAATTGTTATCACAATAAAAAGTAAAAGCGTAGATGGTTATTCACTTTGATTCACATTGTGTTTATATCAAGAAATTTTGCAGAGTAACATCTCTTTAAATCAGCAAAGTTCCTCATCCTTTAAAAAAAATTACTCCACTCGTAAAATATCCATTTTTTCATTACCTTAAACTGAGCTAGTGGTATATAAATGTGTTTGAAAGAAGACCTACAAGAAGATTTGTGTACATAGCAGAGAGCTGATAATGTTAGTCTTTGTTTACAGATGAAACCCTCCTCATCAATGTCATCTGTGGAATTCTCTCTGGAGTCATCTCCTCAGCCATTGCCAATCCAACTGATGTTTTGAAAGTAAGCAGTGCTATCAAGCAAGCTCTTAAAGTCATATTCCTTATTTTCTGAGAAAGGCCTAGCAATGTTCTTCTTTCTCACTTACAGCCAAGAAACTCCCACGTAGCCGTTCTGCTCATTAACACATGGGGTCCCCCTCAGTTGCAGTCTGATAGCAGCGGGTTTGGTTCAGGTTCAAGTGTATGTGATTGGTTTATAGCTTCCATGCTTTGAAGCCCCTACGTTTTAAATATCCACTAGATCGATTTCCCACTGACACATGAGCTCAGAAGAAGAGCTCAGGTTTCTGGTAATTTAGCAAAGAAAAAATAGTTTAGACTTATGCACATTTGGGTTTCTTTTTTCATTGAAAATCTCTTGATTACTTGTTGCATTAAGAAACAAATGGGCTGCTATGATCAGATGGAAGCGATTAGCTGACCTTATTGAGAATACTAGGGATACCCCAAGCCCTCTGCCATCAAGTTGGTTCTGACTCCTAGCCATCTCGCAAAGAAACACGGCCCCACATTCCTTCCCACAGCTCTCGGTCTTTCTCACCTGGGTTCAGTCATCCATTGGCCACACCCCACTCACAGGTACGGGGTTCATTAGGGAAGTTAACAGGTTACGGTTAGGGTCAGAAATGTTCAGGGCACACTTCTTCCAGTCATGGCAGTTTCTTTGCCGTGACCACAGGCTGGCCTCTCTCTGGCCCTCAGCCCCTCGGCTTGACCTTTGCCCTGCTCCAACAAGGGTACTACAAAGCTCAGTTAGGGCTGCTGATAAATGCCCACAGGGCACACCACTCCACCCTAAGCCTCAGGCTGAAGGTACTCGGCTCTCTAGCTCCCCCAATGAAGTGTGTGGAGACACCCTACTCTGCAGCAAGCCTCCCTCCTGCCCAAAGTCACTCAGCTCTCCGGGCTCCATGGGCTGGGAATCTCCTTGCCTTGTCATGTGCTCTGCCTCTTGGTTCTGCTGCTGCTGTTTCTCTGCCCATTCTCTGGTGTCACCGCATTGTATCAAGGGGCTTCAACGCGCAGAGATCAGGGTCCAAAGGACGCACTTCACCCTAGCTTCTCTTCCTTGTTGATACTGAGTTACCCCTCCTGCTCTGAGATGACTTATTTTATACCCGCATTAGAGTTCCAGGATTTTACAATCACAATCCTGCCTGTTAATAGTTATAACTGAATCCTATCATCCTGCCTCCATCTTCGCCACCTGCTCTTATCCAGGCTCATCAGGGAAAAGAGTCACTGGGGTGGGAATTACAAAGACTAGGGCTAGAACAGCCCTGTTAAATAACTCACTGCTCTGCAAACTGTATGAACTGAGATTAATTCTTTATGGGAGCAGACAGCCCCATCATTTTCCTGCAGAGTGACTGGTGGGTTTGAACCACTGACCTTGTTTGTGGTTAGCAGATCAATGTCTAACCCACAGCACCACAGAAGTGGGATACAGACTCCTTAATCTTCTTTGGAATAAGGCAGGGGAGTCCTGGTGTGGCACTGTGGCGTAAAGCACTGGACCGTGAAGTTGGTTTGAACCACAAGGTCAGCAATTCAAACTCACCAGTTGCTCCTCGAAAGCACTTAACAACAGCAATAACAACCACTTAACTCATTACATAAAATAAAAGTAAGACATGAGTTACTTTTTAACTCTCTCAGGATATTTCTCTTTTTAATGTCATTCACCTTATTCCCCATTATTTAACCTTGTACCATTTGGTGTACTGTTGTGTCTGCTCCGACTCATAGAGACCCTGTATAAGGTTTAGTGGGAGCAGACTCGTCTTTCTCCCACGGAGCAGCTGGCGGGCTCTAACTGCTGACCTTGTAGTTCGCAGTCCAGTGCTTATCCTACAGAGAGCCGCTGTGCTCCCATTTGGTGTACTGAGTGCTTGGAACACAAAGTACTTTTAGCGAGCACAGTCTGGTAGGAGGCTCTGAGAGGCCTGGGATGTTCTGCAGCTTGTTAGGTAGTCTGCACCGCAGCGAAGGGGTAGCGTGTGTCATGAAGAACACCTACAGGTACCTTTGCCTGAATTCTCCCATGGACCGGGCGGGTGAGAGATGGAGGAAAATGCCCTTTCTCCTGTTCAGATCTTCACATAGCTCCTGCATCGTGGTGTATTTTCCAGTAGCTGCTCCTCGGAAAACCCTATACAGGGTCGCTATGGGTCGGAACTGACTCAACAGCACTTAACAACAACAACAAGGCAACAGCGGTGCCCTTTACAAAGTTGAAGAGGTCACTGGGTGGTGCAAAAGGTTCACACCTGACTATTAACCGGGTCTGGCACTGTAGGATAAGCACTGGACCGTAAGGTCACTTGGAACTGCCAACCACCAACCACTCCTCAGAAACATAACAGGGTCGCTATGAATTGGAACGGACTCGACAGTACTTAACAATAATAATTAACCTAAAGGAGTCCTGGTATGGCACTGGAGGATAAGCACTGGGCTGCTAATTACAAGTTTAGTGTTCAGATCTACTAGCCATGCCTCAAAAACCCTATACACGGTCGCTATGAGTTGGCACTTAACAACAACAAAACAACCTAAAGCTTGGTGGTTTGAACCCACCCAGTGGCACTGAGGAAGAAAAGCCTGGTAAATCTTTAGGAAAGATTATAACCAAGAAAAACTTATGGATCAATCAGTTCAACTCTATAGTACGTGGGGTCGCTGTGAGCTGGAATCACCTCTGGCAATGGCTTTTTTGTTTGCTTGATTTAAAAGTTAGAGGTAATATATTTGTTCCTTGTTTTAGTTTTGTAGGACTTCTATGAGAAGTTACCACAGAAGTGGGATCTTAAAACAACAGAAATTTATTCCCTCACAGCTGGTAGCTGGGTCCTGAGGCTCTCAGGGGAAACCATTCCATGCCTCTCTCCCAGCTTTGGGTGTGTGCCTGTTGCAAAAATAGGAAGCCTCAAGCATCCCTCCAACAATAGCACTTTCTGTGTCTCTTCTGGGCTCCATAATTCATTGCAGTGATCTCCTAGAGACAGTACTCACAGTTATGGGGTTTATTAGGGAAGTTAAACTTTTTTATAAAAGATTACAAAATAAACTTCTATAAAAGATTACAAAAACCATTTTTAATAAAAGGTTACAAAACAGGATCAGAAAATGTTCAGGGCACAGTTGTTTTGGTGAACTGCTGATAAATGCGACCAGGGCACACCACTCTACCACAAGCCTCAGCCTGAAGGCACTGGGCCCCAGCTCTGTGGCTCAGCAAACCTAGCTCCCCACTTAGGTGCCTGGAGGCACCCCACTCTACCAGCAAGGCTCCTGCCCAAAGTCACTCAGCTTTACTTGCTCCCTGGGCTGGGAGGCCTTGTCTCGTGCACTGCTTTGTCTCGTGCACTGGTTCTTGGTTCTGCTGTTACCACTCCTTTGGTATCACAGCTTTCTCTCCCTGGGTCGAGGAGGTTCAGTGCAAGGGATCTCAGGACCCCAACGATGCATTCCACTCCTGGCTCCTTTGTCCTTTTGATGGTAGAGAGATTCCTCTCACCTGTGATCTTGGTTTGTAGCCAAGTTGCTCCAGTCTTTGCCTACATCCTCCTCTCAGCACATTCTTAGACCAGGCCTAGTGTGGTGCTGTAGGATAAACACTGCACCGCTAACCACAAGGTAGGCAGTTCAAACCCACCAGTTACTCCTCAGAAACCCATACAGGCTGCTACGAGTAGGAACCAACTCGACGACATTAAAAACAACAAAGTCAAGATGATTTCATCTTGACATCCTTATTTCCAAATAAGGTCATATTCAGAGGTTCCAGATAAATATGAATTTGGGGGACACACTATTCAGTCTACTAAAAAACACACGAATCCATTGTTGTTGAGTGCATTCCAACTCAGCATAGCTATACATCCTAAACAAAAATAACATGCTAATTTTTTAGTGAGAAATCCCTTTTCATTCTTAAAAATGTAGCGTCACATCCAATATTATTTTTAGGTGAGAATCTGGGGCATGTGGGTCCATGGCCCCTGTGAAGGTCAATAGTAACTTCAAGTGAAACAGAGCGTGGCAGGCATCATGTGGTCACCTCATGGCCATCTCGTCTGCCTGCCTTTTAGTTCAGCTAATTGGAAATAGTTGTGGCTTGAACTCGTTTACCTATGCCTCATGCTGCCAAGTACACCAATTAATTAGACATTTCTAGAATTCCAACATTTGCTCACTCAATGTAGTGTATCATATAGGAAGATGCGTACATTTTACTTTCCTCCTCAGATGGCTAATTTTTGAAAATTGATTTCTTTTTGCTAGTTTATGAACTAGCAATATGCAGGACTCCGTGGTCTCTTGACTAGGTGATTTTTGAAGACTCTGGAGTTCCCAAGAAGCAACCCTGACGTGTTTAGTCTGCAGGGGCATGATAACTAATATCATAGGAGTACTTCAGTTACAGGTTTTTCCTGTTAAAATATTGTTAAGTGACAGATCAGATGATTTTCAGGGAGAGACGTTGGGGCAGGGGGATTGTGTGGTTTCCTGCTCATGTTGGTCTTTACAACAATCTGTAGATACGGATGCAAGCACAGAGTAACATCATTCAGGGAGGAATGATCGGCAACTTCATGAATATCTACCAGCAAGAGGGAACCAGAGGCCTGTGGAAGGTAAGCAGGAGAAAGAATCTGATGGACTTGGTTCTTAACCTTTTCTCACTTGTTTGTGAATTCATTTTTGCTATTTCTATCATTTTATCTTAATCCAAAAGTAAGGAAAGAAAGTAATATTTTCTGTTCTTGGAGATTCATTCTTCCATCATTTACCTTGCCTATAAAAAGGAAAGGTTCTAAAGTACATTGTGAATGATTCACATATGGGGACTTCTGTGAAGGTCGAGTGGAGGGTTTTATTTTTTATCTCTTTGGTTTCATGACTTTTCAGGGACAGCTGTGTTATCACACAAGCCCTGGGATGGACCGCCAGTTCCTAGTATTCCAGTGACTCATCGCTTTAGAGAATAGACCCTAAAGGTTACCCAGTACAGTCCCTTCATCCTATAAAAGGAAACCAGAGGCTCTGTGAGGTGACTTGTCCTGGCTAGGGTCAGATGTTTGGTGCCTGAACCAGAATTAGACTCAGGCAATTCTGGCTTCTAGTCCAAAGGTCTTTTCTACTCTGATGCTCTACATTGCTTTTCTACAAGCAGAAAAAGAAAACATAAACATTGTGAATAGTTTGTAATTGTGCAAGGCTTGTTGTAGGGAGAGTAATAACTACATATGTGAATCCTCCTTATTATTCCTCTTTCCCCCAGGGTGTGTCCCTTACGGCTCAGAGGGCTGCGATCGTTGTTGGTGTGGAGCTGCCTGTCTATGATATCACCAAGAAGCATCTGATTCTCTCTGGCCTCATGGGAGACACCATCTACACCCACTTCCTGTATGTATGACATTAAAAAAAAAATTACTGTTTTATATCTGAATGAGGTTAAGTAGAAATTTTGTAACAAATTTATGTTGTTGTTGTTATGTGCTGTGGAGTCGCTTCCGACTCATAGTGACCCAGCACAGGGTTTCCAAGGCTGTCAATCTTTACAGGAGCAGAAAGCCTCATCTTTCTCCAATGGAACAGGTGGTAATTTTGCACTGCTGACCTTGTGGTTCGCAGCCCGATTCGTAACCACTACACTACCAGAGCTCCTTAATAAATTTATAGAAATTGTAAAGAAAGTTTGTTATAAAAGTATTATAATCTCATCTTTGAAAAATTATAATATAGAAGTGTACCAGGAAAAAGTAAAAGTCTTTATTCTTTGTTGTTGTGAAGTGCCGTTGAGTTGATTCCAACTCATAGCGACCCTGTACAGGGTTTCCAAGGAACAGCTAATGAGTTTGAACTGCCAACCTTGTGTGTGAAACCAACTTTGTGGTCCAGTGCTTTATCCCACAGCACCACACCAAACCTACTGCCATCGTGTAGGTTACGCCTCATAGTGACCCTATATGAAGTTTCCGAGACTGAATCATTACGGAAGCAAACAGCCTCATCTTTCTCCCGAGGAGTGGGTGGTGGGATTGAATCAATAACCTTGCAGTTAGCAGCCTGACCCATGGTATCACCAACAGTTATCTGTGTATCTATGCATATGCAAACATGTCTATAAATGTATTTTACATGTACTTTATTACACAAATAAGATCATGCTTTTGCGTTCTCTTTTTAAAATTTAATAATATAGTCCAGATACTTTTTCATGTTATTAATATGTTGTTTTCAAGTGCTGTCAAGTCAGTTCTGGCTCATAGAGACCCTATATAGGGTTTCTGAGGAGCAGCTAGTGGGTTTGAACTGCTGACCTTGTGGTTAGCAGTCCAGTGCTTATCCTACAGCCTCACATCAGGAACTTATTTGTATATGTCAGTATATACAGAATTGTTCATATATTATTTATTTATTTTAAAGGCAGAATATTTTTTTTTAATTGGACTTGGCTTTGATAAATACTGACAACACTGCAGACATTAATAAAAACAGATGGTAAGCAAACAATCCTTGCCCGCAGTCAGCGAACTTCAGAGAAAACATATAAGAGTGAAAAGACGGACTCAGTTTTTATATGCTTTCCCACACTAACAGCTGCTTCCATGTTTCCTCTTCTCTTTGTTGCTTTCCATTTAGTCAAATAAGATAATAAATTTGTTAAGTCAGATGCCAAATTGTACAAAATTGACCAGACCTATCTGGGTACAGGAGGTTATCATTTTATAAAACACTATAATTTAAGATCACCAGCGGTAACTGAATTATTTCCTTCTTGGGACTTCTAAGTACCCCTGGCAATTTTACCTAAGAAAATAACAGGCATCAAGTAGGAAATTGAGTGTTCTCAATTGTTTTCTTTATGTGATATTTCATATTGTGTGTATGTTAAGAGAATGAAAAAATTTCCTCTTTTGTTGCCAAAATATAAGCACTGGTAAAATAAACCACAGAAAACCTGTTCACCTTACTTACAAAATGGAGTTAAGTGAAGACAGAGAAGGACAAATAGAATCCAAGAGAAATTCATCCTGGCTAAAATTTCACAGGCACAATTTTGATAGGAGGTGTGTTCTCATGTGACATTCCCACTGTACCTCAGAGTAGACACTGGTGCTGTGCAGAGAGGTTCTACCACAGTCTGGAGAACAAATGTGCTATTTTACCCTAGGAATGTCTTGCTAAGACGTTGTAACATCACTGGGTTACACAGCATAGTGACAATATGATCCATTTTTAAAACTGAAAATAAAACAAAACAAAAGTTAGAAAAATAATTTGACAGAGAATAATGAAACATTTTTTTCAAACACAGTGAAAAATATTTAAAGAGGACTGTAATTTTTTCGTTTTGTTCATTTGTTTTTAATGGCTACAAATTCTCATGCTGTATGGATATATCAGGAGTCTGGTGTGGCACTGTAGAATTAGCAGTGGACCGCAAAGTTGGTTTCAATTGCAAGGTCAGCAGTTCAAACTCACCAACCATTCCTCGAATACGTTATACAGGGGTGCTCTGAGTCGGAACCGACTTGACGGTACTAAACAACATCATAGATATATTATCATTTACTTATTGCAGGGGGCAGTTTTGCCCTTTTGGAAACATATGGCAATGTCTCGAGATCATTTTGATTGTTACAACTTAGGCAGCTTGCCATTGGCAAGCCTGAGAAATCCATTCTGGGTTCACTCGTACCCAGTGTGTTCTGTGGTAGTCCGGTGAAACTGAAAGTTTAGACCTGTCATGGGCGTTAACAATGAGAAAGTCTTTAAGGATAATACTGGAATCACTCGCATGCCTCACAAAGTTACGACTCATGATTGGTGGCCCCGTGTATGCAGAGTAAAACCCTGCTCTACAGGATTTATTTTTTGGCAGCAAACTTTACAGAAGTAGTTTGCCAGGCTTTTCTTCCTCTGAACCTTTAGGTTAACGGCTGATGACAACCATGCTTGTGCTGCCCAGGTTCCTGATGCCTAGAATTTTAATATTAATAGTTGGAATTTTAAGCTACTTCTAAAATTCTTTAGAGGACATTCCTTCTTGTTTCCATACTTCTGTGGCATTTCAGAACCTCAAAGATATTCTTAGTTGTGGCTGGAGTTTCTTGCCATTGTGATCAGTGCTGGTGTGGAAAACATTTGTGCAGCTCTAGGTCTGAACCTCAAAACTGGCCCACTTCGTCCTGCCAAGTGTCATTTTAGTAGTTTTGCAGGAGCTTCTTACCTGCCTCTGGGAGTGGTGGTTGTAGCTTATGTGCCCATTGGTATCTTCTTCGTAGTTCAAGTTTCACCTGTGGTCTGACTGGAGCCCTGGCCTCGAACCCTGTCGATGTTGTGAGAACACGTATGATGAATCAGAGAGTCCTCCGTGATGGCAGGTGCTCTGGCTACACAGGCACCCTGGATTGCTTATTACAGGTGAGAACATAGGTCTGTGGGGTTGGGAATTCCTTTTGTAGCCTATTAACTTCCATGTTACCCTCTGAAGAGATTGTTTTCATGATTTACTTGAGGACACAGATTTTGGAGTAAGAAAAACCTGTCCCTTGTAAATTGTTTGACTCTGGTCCTTTTCCTCATAGGATTACTGTGAAGAGCAAGAGAATGCCTAAAAAGCAGTTAGCATGGTGCCTGGAATGGAGTGATAAGGGTCACTGTTAGGAAATAAGTACATTAAGTTAATCCTCAGTGTTCTAGTGGATTGCTCCAATCCGTTTCTGGAGCTCAGCCACAGTTGTCTTCATTCATCATGGTTTATGGTTTTCTCTCTGTTGGGTCATCTTTGAAGTCTTTCTGACCTTCCTTAAAACACTTGATCCATCTAAAAACTTGTTTTATGTGGGACAACTTTCTCGTAAACTTGTTGCAAAGCTTCAGTAATTTAGGAAGATGTCCACTTGAATTTTATAAAACTTTTCATGTTAGACCTAACCTCAAAATCTTTTCTTCTATGGTACAAAAACTATCCTTTTTTTGGAGGGTAGGGGATGGGAAAACACCCTGATGAGATTAATAATAAGTGTATTATTGAGAGAACTTGTTGGCAGCCATCCACTGATTGCATGTTTAAGCACATTTTGTTTGGAATAAACCCTTGCATGTATGACCTAAAACTCTAAAAGTAATACTTTTTGAACTTCCCTCATGTTTATGAATTTAAATGACATGGAAGTTGTAATTCAGCCTAATTTCATTCAACTACTGTTCATGTTTTCTGTGCGTGGCATTGTTTAGCATGGAGCTATAGTCTTCCATGTAAGGCCCACCGTTTTTTAAGACAGTCTGTCCAAACAGGATTTTATTTTCAAGAGGTGATCAGTCCAGCTGTTTTTTGTTTTGTTTTATTGTGGTAAGAGTACACAGAGCAGAATATATGTTGGTTCGTAACTCTTTTACATACGTGACTCGTTGACATTTGTTGAGTGCATCGTGTTGTGCAGCCATCCCCATTCAGGCAACTGCCTCTTTGTACAGTGTCCCAGCACCAGTAAGAGCAACTCAGTACCCTCTAAATAAGTGGCATCATAGCATACTCGTCCTTTTCCGACTGACTGATTTTAGTTGGTATATTGAGTAAAACAGTATGAGTCAGAACTCCATTTCTCTTTATGCTAGAGGAATGTCCTGTCATGTGCAGTTACTACATTTTGTTTATCCATTAACTCATTGGTGGACACTTAGGTTCTTTTTGCCTTTTGGCTGTTGTGAACAGTATTACAGTGAACATTGGTGCACAAATTTGCGTTCTCACTTTCAGTTATATATGCCTGGGGTTGGGATTGCTGGGTCATATGTTAGGTTTATGTTTAACCCACTCATTATTAATGCATTTGACACAATGGGACAGTAAAGTTAACTTTTTTCTCCTAACAGACATGGAAGAATGAAGGGTTTTTTGCTCTGTATAAAGGGTTTTGGCCAAACTGGTTGAGACTTGGTCCTTGGAATATCATCGTATCCTTTTCTGTGATGGTGGTGGTGGTCATGGTGTTTGGAAGTGGTTGGGGTTCCGACTCATAGCGACCCTGCACAGGGTTTTTGAGGCTGTAAATCTTTACGGGAGCAGAAAGCCTCATCTTTCTCCCGCGGAACAGCTGGTAGTTTCGAACGGCTGATCTTCAGGTTAGCAGCCCGATTCATAACCACTACGCTACCAGAGCTCCTCTTTCTGTGATGTTATGTTGTTGTTGTTAAGTGCCACTGAGTCAGTTCCGACCCATAACAACCCTGTATAGGGTTTCCAAGGAGTAGCTGGTGAGCTTGAACCGCCAACCTTGCAGTTCAAACGGCTTTGCAGTCTGGGGCATTAACCCACAGCGCCACACCAGGACTCCTTTTCTGTGATAGTTGGACTGAAAATAAAAAATGTAGTTAAAAGAATACTGTTTCTGTAAATTATCATTTTGTTAGTTAAAATTTAGAAGTAGGCTCTTTTGAGTTCCTCTGATTCTAAGAAGTATCGTCTCAGTTTCTTTTTTAGGAACTAGAGTCTCAGTGCTAGGCACTAGTGTTAATGATGGTGCTGTTAGAGGTTAATGCTGTCAATAAGAAGACTCTCAGTCTGCTCTAGCAGCTTGGGGGTATTTATGATTTCAGAAAGAGACAAAGACTGATTACATATCCCCAGCCAATCTTGAGAAGGATGTGGCTTGGCAATCATGTTGTAAAATGCTTATTTTAGAGAGTGAGTGCCTAAGAGTAAACTAGAAGGAGCTTCAGAATCATCTGAGTGATTCGCACTGCTTCCTGCATTCTCCTGTGAAAGGCAGGAAGGAGCAGCGGGTTACTAGATGTGGAAGAACTGTGGGTGTGCACCGTTCCTTTGGTTCTCTTTTTCTGCTCCTCCTTCCCAAGGATGGCGATGACCCTGGAGGAGAGCTTTTCTAGGGCTTGTTCCCTCCTAGAAACTTGTTGTTGTTGTGAAGTGCTGTCGAGTCGGTTCCGACCCATACCAAAAATCTTCCTGCTCCAGCAAAGTCACAAAAGCTAGTCATCTGAGAAGAGACTCCCAGAGCTGGGCCTAGGTGATTCTTCTATCTCAGCTCTGATTTTCCTGTTGGAAGCTGGCTGGCCTTGGAAGAGGTCATGGGGAGATTCTTAAGGTGGTTTGGCATGAATCCCCTCCTGTGTAACCATGATCCTGCATGTGGTCTGCCCATACTTCCTTGCTAGTAGATGTGCTCTTTTTTGTGCTTGTTGTTGTTGTTGTTGTTAGGTGCCATTGATTCAGTACTGACTCATAGTGACCCTATTATGCACAATAGAGTGAAACACACTTCCCAGTGTTTTTATGTGTTGGAATTACTAAGATGGCATTTTCTGTATCAGCCTTAACCAATAACTACAGTTCTTTGTGACATATGAGCAATTGAAGAAATTGGACTTGTGACAAGCCACAGTCTGTGTGTGATCCCCTCTGAAAATGCTGATTTCCAAAACAGTACAGCCTCCTGTGTTTCACGCTGCTTTTCACTGCTTGGATCCTCGCAGATTTCTGGATGTGAGCAACAGACAGCAATGGGGTTAGTTCAAATTGCTGTGTTGGCATTGGATATGCCTCATCAAATGTATAATAATATAGACAACAGCATTCAAGCACTATTCCTTACCATTGAAGTGCCCTTTCCATCAAAGATAACATTTGCATATTTCTGCTCAAGAAAACTTACGAGAAAATCAAGAGCTGTAGATGGCTTCTTCCCAGGAGATTAGGTCCTGATGCATCTCAGCACTTGGTGGAGACCCTCAGGCTGCTCTGGAGAAGTTCATCAGAACCGTGCGTGGATTGGAGCCCAGAAGCCTCTAAGAGGTGTCACTGTTGCTGGACTTCTGGGGGCTTGCTTTTGCTTCTTGTCTGCTGAGGAGACAGCACACGTGGAGACCTGGACTTCCCAACACCAGGTGTAGGTACAGACAATACGGGAAACCAATCTTTGGAATATTGCACTGCGTTTTAGTTTCCTATTTTGACAGGATCTTTCACTTATAATAAGTGATTCTAATTCTAAGCCTTTGTGAACTTGACCTTTGTGAGGAATTGTTACAAAGTATTGATCTCTAACCTCATTGTGTCATTTGTTGGTTTTGAAGGTGGCATGGTGTTCTCCAACAGCATGGGTTCTGATAGTAATTTACTCCGTGACTAAGCAAAGCTTATTAGCCCATCTTGTTTCTGTTGACCGAGGCTCAAATTAAGAAAATGGTAGCACTGTGCCCCTTTCACGATGCCGATGCAGCCAACATGATGAGTAAGTGTGTTTACTTCCCACGGTCCTGTAGCTACAATCCCCTGTAAAGTGCATTTAGAAGAATCATGTCATCGTGGTGTTCTCACTGCCCTCAGGAGGGAAGCCCTTGGGGAAAAGCCTTGTTGCAGTAAAAGCCCTGTGTGCGTTAAGATTCCCATATGCTTTCTGTCAACCTGTGGCTAGTGAATTGGAAAGTTGATATTTCCAGCTTTTCAGTTTTTCCTTTAGATCATGCCACAGTATGTTAAGATATGTCCGGTCTTGAGCTTCCTAGTTAGTTTAGAGGGAAACTACGTTTTAAAAACAAATTCTGCAGTGCCTCCATTTCACAGTAAATCTTTAATATTCTCTTTCTTTTAAAGACAATGAGTATAAATTGTTCTCCCTCTTTCTAAACGGCAATGCACTCATTGCTAACCAGTAGATTAGTGGTTCAAGGCCATCTAGAGGCTCCTTGGAAAAAAGATCTGGTCCCTTTACTTCTGAAAAATCTGCCATCTGAAATCCCATGGAGCACGTCTGCTCGGACACATAGGGTCACCATGAGTTGGAGGTGACTTGGTAACAACTGATTTGAATTTTAGTTTTGGCCTCAGAGCCCCTGGGCTTTGTACTTGTAGAAGACAGCCCCAAGAAAGTGAGTAGATTTAGTTGGGTACCTTCAGCTGTACCCATTGAGAATAACATTAAACATGTCCTGCCTGGGGCTTCAGGACAGACCACTTCTATAATACATGCCGGACAAAGGGCTACCTTTTGGGGCTCCTCCCTCCACTGAGGCAGAACAGGAGGCAGGCAGACTTGGGGGACCAGGAGGTTTCTCCATAGTCATTTTCACTTTTGCCGCCTTTATCAGTGCTTCCTTTGCAACTAAGATTGATTTTGGAGGGGCTGGGGGTGTTGGCAGGTATGCCCAGGTGTCCTGGCCTGCTCTCCATGGGCTGCACCAGTGCTGAGTTCATCAGCCTTCAGTCCTTACACTAAGCCCGTGTTCAGAGACCCGCAATTTTGTTTTCTCACCAAAGCATTCCATTGATGTGGACCGTGGAATCAAGGCTTTCTGTCTCCAGGCTTTCATTTTCAAGTTCTTGGAATTTAAACGACATTGCTTTTCATGAACCTTTCTTGTGTATATTTTAATGTAGAAAAAGTTGGGTTTTTTTTAAAGTGTATATGTAACTTCTAAAACAGTAGAAACATCTTCATTGAAAGATCAACTGCCCGGCCATATTCATTATATGAGTTTATTCACATGCTGTCCATACTCCTACCAAGATGAGATGAAAGGCAAACCTCAGTGTAAAACTTGAGCATGTTTTATGACATTCATATCTAACATTGCTCCAGCTTTGGTTGAGGCTTACTAAGTACCGTATAAAACAGAACCCTAGCCTCTGTTTATCTTCTTCCCAGAGGAGTACGTGCAGTTCTGGGGACTTCCGGAATTACAGGACTTGGTCCCCTTGTTTTCAGGGCTGTGAGCACAAGGCTTCTTGCCCTCCTTTTTGGATACTGCGTAAATATGGCAAAAGGGTTTCTAGTTTTTATACTCAAGTTGATGTAAATGGTCTTGTGTAAATTGCTTGTGGGTTTATGTAACCACTGATGCTAAATGTTGCTGATCTGTGATGTAAAAAATGGCTCTTGTCCTGCTATTTATTCATATGCTTGAGATAGTTTGTGTTATATAAAGAGTATACATTTTTCATAAGCCTTTATGTGTAGAGTTCTTTATTTAAGCAATGTTGGACTATGTGATGTACACCTTGTTTCATTTATTTAATAAACTGGAGTAATATATAAAAATAAAATATGATTGGTGGTTATTTCAGATATATGTTGTTATTAAGTGCTGTCGAGTTGGTTTCGACTCATAGTGGCTTGTGTATAGGGTTTCTGAGGAGCGGCTGGTGAGTGTGAATCACTGACTGTGCAATTCAAACCAACCTTGTGGTTCATTGTTTATACTACAGCACCAGGCCAGGACTCCTGCACGTATATTGTTATTGCTTATTGCCGTTGAGTCAATTCTGACTCATAGCGACCCTGTATAGGGTTTCCAAGGAGCAGCTGGTGGGTTTGAACTGCCGACCTTGTGGATAGCAGTCCCGTGCTGATCCTACAGCACCACACCAGATATATGTTGTTGCTGTTAAATACTTTCCAGTTGATTCCAACTCAAAGCGATCTTGTATAGGGTTTCTCAGGAGCAGCTGGTGAACTTGAACCACTGACCTTGAATATCAAACGCCCTTGTGGTCCAGTGCATTATCCCACAGTGCCACAAAAACCCCGCTGCCATTGAGTCAATTCTGGCTCATAGAGACCCTATACTACTTAGAATTGCTCTCTAGGGTTTTGATCATTGTAAATCTACGAGAGCAGACTGTCTCAACTTTCTCCCTCAGAGTGGTTGGTGGGTTTGAACTGTTGACCTTGTGATTTGCAGCCTTATGCTTAACCCACAGCACCACCAGGGACCCGTATTTCAGATCTATAGAAACATTTAAACACAGACAAGCACAAAGGAGGGTCCAGGCTGCTGTAATAATGTTGTTGGGTGCCATCGAGTCGATTCCAGCAACCCCATGTGACAAAGGCTAACTGTCCCATAAGATTTCCTTGGCTGTAATCTTCACAGAAACAGATTTCCAGATCTTTCTCTTGTAGAAGCAATGGGTGGGTTTGAACTGCCAACAGTTTGGTTAGCAGCCAAATGCTTAAGCATTGTGTTCCCAGGGCTCCTTGGAGTATGTCAATTCCAACCCATAGCAACCTATGTAGGGTTTCTGAGGAGCAGCTGGTGGGTTGCGGCTCACAGTTCAGTCTTACAGCACCACACCAGGGCTCCGGAGTAGTAGTAACATTGGTGAAAGCAGCTACCAGCATTTCTCTTCATAGAGAAGTTGTTGAGCCATCTTCTGTAACACACAACCCTGGGGGGCCTCCTGTGGTAGGAGTTAGTCAGTAACTCCCGGCTGGCTTGTCAAGGTGGCCTGGGGATTCAGAACCCCAGAGTGATGACATCACTCCCAGGCTGGGTCACTCAAGTTCCTCTACAGTTTACTGTTGACTAGAGGTGGGTGCTGGGGTCCATAGTCAACTGTGGACAAAGATACTTCTGGCTGGTAGAAAATAACCAGTAGACTGAATGCAAACCTACTTCTTTTTATTTGAAAGTATTTTCTAGGTGTCTTTTATTTTATTTTACTGTGGTGAAAATATACATAACAAAGCACACCATCTCAACAATTCTTACATGTATAATTTAGTGATACTGATTGCAGTCTTCAAGCTGTGGAACTATTCCCATTTTTCTTTTCCAAATCATTCTACCACTGTTAACATAAACTCAGCGCCCTCCAATCAAAAGTGTTCTCTCTCCCCATCCCTCACTAATAACCTTTGGTTTCCGTATATTTCTCTTATTCATTTCACCCAGCAGGATGTTTTCAAAGTCCATGTGGTAGCATGCATCAGGGTTTCATTTCTCTTTGTGACTGAGTAGTATTTCACTATGTTTAGATTGTGCCTGTATTAACACTGTAAAATCATTCATTAAACAGAGTGGTTTATTGGGAGTCCTGGTATGGCGCTGTAGGATCAGCACTGGACTGCAAACCACAAGATGAGCAATTCAAACCCACCAGCCGCTCCTTGAAAATCCTATATAGGGTCACTATGATCCAGAACCGATTCGATGGCATTTAACAATACAGAAAAAGGAGCTCTGGTAGCATAGTGGTTATGAATCGGGTTACAAACCACAAAGTCAGCAGTTTGAAACTACCAGGTGTTCCGCAGGGGAAAGATGAGGCTTTCTGCTCCCGTAAAGATTTACAGCCTTGGAAACCCTGTACAGTGTCTCTATGAGTTGGAACCGACTCCACGGCACATAACCAACCAACCAAAACAATACAGAAAACCCAGTTTCAATTCCTGGTCAATGCACCTCATACATAGTTACTACCCATGTCATTGGAGGCTTGTGTGTTGCTATGATGCTGAATAGTTTCTAGTGGTGCTTCCAGACTAAGACAACCGCCCTAAAAATCAGTCAATAAACACCCTGTGGATCACAACTAATAGTTTTGATACCTTATATGAAACTTATGCATTCTCTTAAGTGTTCCTTCATTACTTACAAT